AAAAAAAAAAAAAAAAAAAAAAAAAAAGATGCTATTTGCCATTCCCACAGAAAGCAAGTAAGATGGTTCCAGTAGAGTAAGGATTAAGCATCTTCCTTCTATAACTGCTTTACTAAGAATCATAAGGTAAGCCATAATCCCTGCTACGTAGGTCTTCTCACTGGTACAGAACAAACCAAACAAGACAGGAAAGTAAGACATGCCTGACTCATCCTTTGTTTCCTGCAGAACAATCTTTGGAATTTGTACCAAAATAGAGTAGAAATTCTATCAGGAGCAGAGCAGGAGGCTACCTACCAACAAACCTTTAACCTTGGAGGTGTTTTCTAGGCCACTTCCTATCATACCTTGAAAGCATTTCCAAAGCATTTCCAGGTCTCTGGGAAACATAACTGAGTAGCATTCACAATTCATGTTCCCGCAGCCAAAGTTCATGAAGAAATTGATCGTGTGATTGGACGCAACCAAAGCCCCAGCATGAAGGACAAGATGAAGCTGCCCTATACAGAGGCCGTTCTGCATGAGATACAAAGATACATCACCCTTTTCCCTTCTAATCTGCCCCATGCTGTAACCCGGGACACGAAATTCAGACAATATGTTATCCCCAAGGTTAGATGCGCCTGGGAACACTGACTGGAATACAAGGGGCAATGTGGCGCTTTGTAGGGTCTGGGAGAGACTTTTCAGTTCTAATGCTGAGACAAGCTACAGTCACATAACCTGGGTTTGAAAGCTGTTGCTGCCATGCAGTATACTCTCAGGCCTTCCTATTGCCTCTGGGACCTTGTCTCTGCCTTCCTAAAATAGGGGAGGCTGGCCTGGAGCTTCCAAGGCCCTTTCCTACTCTGATCAAATGTATTAAGTGAGCAGTGATTTCCACTAATAAGATGGTCATGGGAATATAAATCTGATTTTTCATTATGAATTTTAAAAGAGGAGGAAGAGTTGGAAATGTTTAATGAAGCCATGTCTCACTGGTTTTAGTCCTAATTTTCTCCTACCAGGATCTCATGTACATTTGGGAAATTGCTGCCCTTGACAGTTAACATTTGTAAGCACTTAGCATGTAGCAAAATGTTTACATGCAAACTGGGAATGTTGTTAGTCTTCATAGCGATTAAGTGTTTGGGATTTATATAAAAACAGTTCCAGGGAATAGAAGAGGAAGAAAACATGCAAACATGACCAAATTACTGCAAAAATAGAAACAGTTACCAATCTTACTTACAATTGTCAGTGCAAAGTCTATTAACACATAAGTCTAGCAGATTAAAAATACTACCCCACTAACATGATAATATAATCAGGAATATAGCAAGAGGCCAACACTAGGAAATACACCTTAAGACAATTCACCATATAGATAGAATTTGTGAAAGAGATTGTGTTATAGTCTCAATTATACGGAATATCTCCTCAATAATATTTAACATCCATTCTCGGCTTTTTGAACCCTTAGTAAATAGGAATAGATGAATACCTCCTTCACTAGAGAAATTGTATCCTAAGTCGTGTTTATTGACGTAAAACTGGAAGCCTTGCCATTGATATCAGGAGTAAAATGAAGCTATTCACATTGCCAATGTTATTCAACTAGAATTGGGAAAAAGTAGCAAGAGATACTTCATTTTAAAAGATGAAATTCGAGGCAAGAGGATCATTGAGAGTTCGAGACCAACCTGGGCTGCAAAATGAGCTCAAGGCCAGCTTGAACTGCATAGAGAGATCCTCTCTCAAAAAGACAAAAAAAAAAAAGGAAAGAAAAGATGAAATTGAAATTTTTGTGTTTATGTAATTACACCTAGAAAACAAAAATTAACTGTAGTGCCACTGCAAAATAGAAGAAATGTACAATGATTGGATACAAATTTTTTTCTTTTTTTTTGGTACTGGGAATTGATCTCATGACCTCAAGCTTGTCAGACAGATACTTATGCCACTGAGCTATATCCCCAGCCCACAAATTATTATTTTTGAAAATCAGTCACCACTATATATAAAATGCAAACTATTTTTTAAAACATAATGAAGGAAATTTTTCATTAGTAAAAATGACATGGATAAAACACTTAGGAATAAACAAGAAATCTGCAAGATTTTAAAGTTGTTGGGTTTTTGTTTTTTGGTTTTTTTTTTTCCCTCTGGTACCGGGAACCGAACTCACGACCTTGCGCTTGCCAGGCAGGCGATTTTGCCACTGAGCTAAATCCCCTGCCCCTGGTTTTTGTTTTTTTGTCTTTTTGAGATAGAGTCTCACTATGCAGTTCAGGCCAGCCTTGAGCTCATTTTGTAGCCCAGGCTGCTTTTGAACTCGCAGCCATCCTCCTGCCTCAGCCTCCCAAGTGCTGGGATTACAGGCATGTGCCACCACACCCAGCCTAAAATTTCAAAGTTTAAAGAGAGTAAAACTCAAAAATTTTAAAGATGTAAAGAAAGAACATTTTAGCCGGGCATAGTGGCACACCACGTGTAATGCCAGCACTCAGGAGTTTGGTCAGGAGAATCACTGCAGTTCAAGGCCAGCCTGGGCTACAGAATGAACTCAAGGCCAGCCTGAACTACACAGCAAGACCCTATCTCAAAGAAAAAACAGAAAAGGTTAAGAAAGAAAACTTTGAAATGTTAATGTAAATGAAAGCTGTAACTTTTTAAAATAAATCTAAAGACTTAGTTTGTGGGTAGAAACAAATCCAAACTTTCATACGTAAAAAAGAGCAGTCAGGGATAAGTCCTACCAATATTAAAACACAATATAAAGGCACAGTTTTTAATGTAGTATCTCCTTGGATAGGTGGTCAGATTAATTGAATAAAGTCTAGAAATGAATCTAATTACAGTAGTCTACCTTATTCATAGTTTCATTTTCCATCAGTTTCAGTTACCCATGGTCAATTATGATCTGCAAATATTAAATGGAAAATTCCAGAAATAAACATAAAACTCACATTCACATAAATTTATACAATTATGTTTTATTTTATTATTACTTACTGTTAATCTCTTACTATGCCTAATTTATAAACTAAACTTTCACATAGATGTCTATACATAGGAGAAAATAGTATATGTAGGCGATTTGGTAGTATATGTGACCACAGGTCTTCACTGGGTGTCTTGGAATGTGTCCCTTTTAGATAAGGTAAAGGATGGAAACTTAGTACTGTTTCTAAAAAGTCCTTTTTCATTTTAACCTTAAGGAAAAATATAGATTATTCCATAGATAAAAATTCCCAAAGGAGTTGAAAAAATAATAAATTCCTACCTTATACCTTACATGAAAATTTATTATTGATGGCTTAAATATAGGTACAGAATATTTAACTGTAAAATCGGTGAGTGATAAAAGATTTCCTAGCATTGACCAAAAAAAAGGGACCAAGAGGACCATAAATTTAAAAACTGATAGATTTGATTATACACAAAAAGTCTGCCTAGTAAAACAAAGTCAAAAGACAAATGGCAAGGCTGAAGATGTAGTTCAGTAGTACAGTGTTTGCCTCATATATGTGAGGGCCTGGGTCCAACCCTCAGTATCTCACACATACACACATATACACATACCGAAGACAAACTGAGAGGAAATTTTGAATAGTACATAAGAGCAAAGGATTAACTCCTAAAAAAGGACATGAACTCCTACAGTAAGTATGAATTAATCTCCAAACAAACAGATAACAGTGTGAGGGAAACAAACTTAAAATTTGAATAAAAGTAATTACAGCTTTTTAAATGTGTACATATGTACTCACAAAATAAAACATTTTTAAAAAATTTAAAAGTATATGTTTTTACTTGAGCATTGGGAGGATATTTTAAAAACTTATTCTTGATGATAGTGTTAACTGGTATAACCTCTACAGAAAGCAGTATGGCAGTCTATCAAAATTCAAAACATACAACTTGAAGAGAAGTTACACTACTAGGAATTTATCTTTTGTGTATATTTCCCCCAAAATAAAGATATTCATTGTGGTAGTATTTTTCATATTTGAAGACTAGAAAAGCTTCATTTTAAAACGTGTCCATTTAAAAGAGCTATTTAAAAATGGGGTACTAAGCAAGTTGCAGAGCACTATAGTATGCTAGTATGCTACCATTTGTGTGGAAGCAGTGGGGTCTGTATCTGTTCTCTTTTTTTAATCCTTATAATATCTCTCAGCTGTGTCCTAAATGGAGAAGAGTGATTACGTCAAACAGGAGACCCAGCAACAAGTCAGTATAGGAAAAGGAGGGGCACTTCTTCAGTTCACTCCACTATGTACATGTTTTGGTACTGTATACCATGTGCATGTATTTCTGGTCCCAATAATTGTACAAATAAAGTTTGAGATATAATATCAAGTAAAAAATGGAAAAAGCAAGCTTTCACTTAAATAGGAGTGCTTTATGATTAGATAGAACTTGATTCAAGTTCTAACTGTGCCACCAGCCAAAAGTGCCAATGTGAAGGAAAGTTTATTTCTCTTCTAAACTTCAATTTCTTAATTTATACAGTGCAAATAAAAAGCTATGTACTGGATATAGTTGATAAGAGAATGAAATGAGATCTATAAACAACTAAGCAGTGTCAGGCAAATGTGACGCATCCAGTATAAAGAGCAGTTACCGTTACTGTTCTGTCACCCAAAGCTCACAAAACTCTTAGGAGGCAAGGAGTAAAGCTTGTTGTGAGAAAAGTAGGGTTTTATTCGATAGCTCTGAAACTCAAGATCTCATTTATTTCTACTCGCACATAAATCCAGAACAACAACAACAACAAAATAGTAAAAAAGTGATCTGTCCTAGTTTGAGGCAACAACTCAAGTGATGCTCATGATTAGACAATATGGGTTGCAAACTTTGGTTTTTCAACAATTGATTCTTCATGTTGGCCATAATACTGCCTTTCTACCATAGCAACTTATTATTGGGTGATTGTTTATATAAAATAGCTGTACCTTGAGACAACCCCTCACCAGGCAAGCATTAAGATGCTCAGCTCTATGAAATCCACTAAAATTAAGAGTATTTGAATTGGTATTAATGAAAGATAAACATGATACAGTGCTACAGATTCTTCATTCTTGGTTCCAGGGCACTACTGTGTTACCACTGCTGTCTTCGGTCTTGATGGATTGCCAGGAGTTTCCCAATCCAGAGAAATTTGACCCAGGACACTTTCTAGATGAAAATGGCTCTTTCAGGAAAACAGACTACTTTGTGCCTTTTTCCTTGGGTAAATACAAATTAATCTATCGAGACAACACACAAGCACATTTTGAGCAATGTTGAGCTTTCACTGATTTATAGCATAAGTAAGTAACCCTGGGATGATAGCAAAGTCAATTAAACTGTTATAACCTCCAAAAACTGGATGGAGCCATTAAAATCTGTACACTGAAAAGGATCAGGCAAATAATCCAGGGACTATTTTGTTGTTTGTAATGCAAATTTTTTTAAAAAGTCAAAGCAAGTTAATCAAATTCAGATGTCATGCATTCATTACCCATGACAAAGGGGCCTGTTTTTTGCAAACTTTTCTCTGCTGATTTCTCCATTTGTAATACTGACTTTTCCAAAACAAAAAGTACAGATTATTTTTTCTTTGTTTTTAACTGTTAACTGTTATTAATTTCCTGATTCTTAGAGGCAGAGTCCATGGAAGAATCATGGTCACCTACATCTTCCTTCTCCAAAATTTGGAATCCTACACATTCTTGCCTCTAAGAACTGCTTGCCTCTCAATTACTATCTCCCATAGGCCATAAAGACACATTAGGAATGACCAGCATGTGTTCTTTTTTCCTTGTTATCCTATATATTCCTTTGTAGTATTTTTTAAAATAAAATGAAATATTTAATTTCTAACAAAATTGATTAAAAAGTGTTCAATATACAAATGGAAAATGTAGAAGAGCAAAAAAGTGGAAAAAAAAGTATTTGTCTGTAATTCCCCATAATGAAAGTATCACTTAATATTTTATTAAGTATACTTCAAATGTCTGGGTATAAGAGTAAATAAGAGCCAAAAGGTATAACAGATATTGTGAAAGGAAAAGGAACTGCTCAAAAGGAAAGAACAACTGGGATGGGGGAAAGGAGAAAAGAAAAAAAAAAAGCCTCGGTACATATAATGGATATTTTAAAAATAAAAGTTGGTTCATTCTGTATAGTGTGTTTAATAACCAACTTCCACTTAGTATGTTGTGACAAAAGATAGCCTATAGCAGTGGTGGTGAACAAGTGCTTCACTGCGCTGTTTGTATCACTGAAAGCTCTAAAAGATTCACCTCCACTGGCCTATAGGAGTAGGTAAACTTCCATGTACACAGTTTTAGGTTGTGTTGCATGATAGATGAACAATGATTTATTTCACCAGTCTATTATAGATAGATGCCTAGGTTTTATCCAGGTCATAACATCATAAATGATGGTGCAACTAGCTGTACAGGGGGATCTCTAGTTCCCACAGATAAATTCCCAGAGACTTACTGAACAGTGAGCATTTCTTTAGAGCACTTTGATATGTATTGACAATCCTTTCAAAGTAGAGTACCGATTTATCTACAAGCAGATTGTTGAGTGTTCCCCTTCTGCTCAGTGTTTTCAATGGCTTTTGGACAGGAAGAGCTAATGCCAGTGTTTTCCTCCTTTTAGGAAAAAGGGCCTGTGTTGGAGAGAGTTTGGCGCGTATGCAGTTGTTCCTGTTTATCACTAGCATTCTGCAAAACTTTTCCCTGAAGTCCTTGGTGGAGCCAAAGGAAATAGATACCAAGCCCATTACTACTGGGTTTGTCAATATCCCCCCACCCTATAAGCTGTGTCTTATACCTAGATAAAAGAAGAATTTTTTTTTTTAGCCACTCCAATCAAAGTAATTGCTTTCCCTTTTTTCTAGATATAATCTAATTCTCCACTTTATATACTGCCTAGGAGAGAAATGCTACTCAGTAAAATTAGATGGATATTTGTTTCAATCCATAAATTTCTTGATAACAGAAAAGACTGGGTCTTGTGTGTGTGTGTGTGTGTGTGTGTGAGAGAGAGAGAGAGAGAGAGAGGGAGGGAGAGAAGAGAGAGAGAGAAAAAGAGAAATACTGGGAATTGAACTCAGGGCCTTGTGCATGCTAGGCAAGCACTCTACCACTGAACCACATCCCCAGCCCAAGGTCTGGGTCTTGAAAACTGTAAAGGGACAGCCAATATTTTTATAACCCATAATGTACTTTATAAACCATGCTCCAACAGAACCAAGACCAGGCCCTCAGAAGCCTTTATCAGAGACCGTCAAAAATAGTAGAGGCCTGAGGATTTAGCTCAGTGGAGCAGCTCCTGACTGGCAAGTGTGAGGTCTTGAGTTTGATTTCCGGTATCAAAAAAAAAAAAAAAAAATAGTGGAGCCTTCACTCTTTTGGTGGCTTTGGAAATAAAGTAATTATCTGTCATTTTTGAAATAGATTAATACAGTGGACTATGTGCACCTTTCTATTTCCATTTGAAAGTGCTTACATGATTTTTGCCACATTCACCAAATAAATCTTTACTGTTGCAATACATTTTATTTGTATATGTGATTTTATTTCAAGTCTCAAAAATCCCTCTTCTTGAGCTATAGGCAGTCTAACAAGATATGATAAATAAGTAAAATTAAATGATAACCCCTATCACAAATCTCTCCTTTCTCTACCTTATGTCTTTGCAACTATGATTTAAATGTAACCCAAGAAGCCTCCTTGGAGAAGGAACCAAACCATGTCCAGAGGTGGGATTCAGATGTTCACAGCTGTGTCCTCTTCAGGAAGTGCTGAAAAGCGGGACTGGAGGCTGAAAAGCAAGGAGGCAAGTTGCAAGAAAAAACTATGCATTGCCAAGAGAATACAGCGGCCCCGTGGTGGCCCAGAGAAGTGCAGTGAGCCCCAGATACCACCAAAGGATGGCTTAAATGCCAGGAGCCAGCCAGACACGAGGAGGAAGAGAAGTTATAAAAGTAGAACTAAAGAAAGAGAATGAGGAAGCAAATCACAGACTGGAGTAAATATTTGCAAAAAACCATATCTGATAAAGGATTGTTAACCAAAATATAAAAAGAACTCTTAAAATTCTACAGAGAGAAAATTAACAGCTCAGTTAAAAACTGAACCAAAGTTCTGAACAGATCGCACTGCAGATACGCAGTTGGCAAATAAGCATATGAAAAGATTCCCCACATCATATGTCATCACAGATGTGCGGTTCAAATATAAGAGTTACTGCTACACACCTTGAGAATTGTTAAAAGCCAGAACACTGTTCCATACCAAGTGCAGACAAGGATGTGGAGCAAAAGAAACCCTCATTCATTGTTGGTGAGGATATTAAATGGTAGAGTACAGCCTTTTTGAAAAAAGTTTCAGTTTTTCATAAAACTAAGCCTAATCTCACCATACAATTCAGTGTGAATCTCCTTACTATTTACCCAAAGGAGTTGAAAATTTATGTGCACATGAAACCCACATATGCACCTTTATAACAACTGTATAATTGCCCACACTTGAGATGAATCAAGTTGTTCTTCAGTAAGTGAATGGACAAATAAACTGTGACACGACTTGACACAGTGTAAACATAAATGAGCAAGCAGGCTGTGAAATGACACGGAGGAAACTTAAGTGAAAGAAGCCAGTCTGAAAAGGCTCCATATTGTGTGATTCCCACCACACGACACTCTGAAAGGACAAAACTTTGGAGATAATAAACACAGATCAGTGGTTATAGGAAGAGGGAGAAATGAACATGCAGAGCACGGAAGATTTTTAGGGCAGTAAAAATTCTCTGTATGGTACCATAAGGATCAATACATGTCACTATATATTCCTCCCACGGAGAGTACACCACAAGTAAACCCTAATGAAAACTATGAACTTCGGGTGCAGGTTCATCATTTATGACAAATGCACCACTTTAGTGTGGGATGTGGATAGTGGTGAAGACTCTACTTCTGCAGGAGTGGGGAGTGTATGGGAAATCTCCAGCACACATCCTGCTCAGTTTTGCTATGAATCTAAAACACTAAAAAATAAGTCAAAGGAATAATATTGAACTCTATTTTATAACATTTTTAAAGAGGTAGAGCCAAGTTCCTACTTATGTAGCAAAATAATTAAAATCAGGGACTCACACAGATGCTTGTACACTTGTAGCAGCATTGTTCACAACAGCCAAAAGGTGGAAACACTCCAAATGTCCATCATGAGATAAGTGGATAAAGAACGTGGTCTATACATAAATGGAATATTTTTCATCCTTAGAAGAGAGGACATTCTGACACAGGCTACCACATGGACACACCTTGAAGACATTCTACTACAGGAAATAAGCCAGGCACAAAAGGACAAACATGGTATGTATGATTCCACTTACGTGAAGTGCTTAGAATAGTCAGATTCACAGAGACAACATACAACGGTGGCTGCCAGGAGAAGAGAGGGGAACGAGAGTATTTAGTGAGTATAGAGTTTCAGTTGACGACTTTTAAAATTCTGTTTTTGTTTTTGTTTTTTTTTCCTGGTACCGGGAATCGAACTCACGACCTTGAGCTTGCCAGGCAGGCGCTGAGCCGCTAGGCTAAATCATTCTGGAGATAGTGGTATGTGATGGTTGCACAACAATGTGATTATATTTAATGCCACAGAGTTGTTCACTTAAAAATGGTTAAAGCAGTCAATATTATGCATACTTAACCTCACACACAAAACAGAATTGAAGTGTTTAAGTTATAAAGAGCTGGGGATTTTGAGATAGCAAATTTTGGATCTAAATGTGAATGTGACTTGTTAACATCTAAGTTTTCCCTGTCTTCCTCCCACCCTCAGCCTCCTTTCCAGCCGAAGGGAGCTTTGTCCTTTGTCACTCAGCTTTTCCCACACCATTGAAAGTTTTGAATTTGCCAGCTAGGTTCCCTGAGATGAGAGCCTTAGCCACTTTCCTCTTGCTTTTATCTCAGCCCCTCTACATAGCCACCAATATTTTTTCTTTTCATTCTTTTTTTGGTTGATTTTTAAATTAGCCAATAAAAATTGTGCATGCTTATAGTATACATGTGATGTTTTGCTGTATTTTTTTAAAATAAATTCTCAAAACCCCCTTAAAAGTGCTGAAGGTATAGATACTGGCTGAAAATTTCTGGGCATGTGGAAGAAGATACCCCCACACATCACAAAACAAACCTTCCTGTAAAATTCCTTTAAACATCTCTCTTCACCTTCTCCCAGGATCAGTCTGAATCTCCCACTTCTCTTTTTCTCCTTTAAAATCCTTTTCCACCGCTTCCCTATCACCAAGCTAACTTTCCTTTCCTCTTCCCTCTCCTCACTTTCCCTCATTTTTTTAGGCCAGACAGTTTAGTTTCTTGTACTGACATTTATCCTGGTTACCCATGAATAATATCACAATAGAACAAAGGCCTAATAACAAAACAGTGCAAGCAACAGGTCCTCCATTTATAAGACAGGACTAATTATAAAGTTATATATAGTTAGTTTGTATTATATATGATGCCAATATTTTTTAGTTCCCAGGGTCATTCCATGACCCACAATATGAAGTCCTTAAGAGATTCTACCTCAGAGAAGTTCAGGAATCTATTGAAAATAATATCTTCCAGTCGTTAAACCAGACACTGATTTTACCTTATTCCCATTTACCTTGTTCCAACTTTACCTTATTCCAATGGTATGAGAGGTATACAGATATCAAGACTGATGATCGGAGGTTGAGAAATTTGGTTGCGTTTACTTAGATAAAAATAGCAAAACTCAGATTTAAATCTCAGTTTCTGGTAGCAAAGTCCATGTACTTAAGACACTTTGCTACAGAGCCCACTTGAGAGCACGGGGGTTCATCTATAAAGCCAAAAGGACTTTAGCCCAAAGTACTCGAATGATCTTCCCTAGTTCAGTTCCTGGAATGTTCTCATTTAAAACAGGATCCACTGGTTCTTCTAGGACTTGGTCTCTACAGAGTTTGGAGGTTTGGCGCTGCTAGACCTACTCTTGAACTCTTTTTTTTTTAAATGCTCAAAACCTCCAATCTCCTGAATCTAAATTTTTTACTGACTCACTTGGAAACTGATACCCACATGCCAGTAGGGAGTTTTCTTGCCACCACAGGTAACAACTCTTCAAGACATTTCCAAAATTCACCTAGTAGAGCTATAAATATCCTCTATGCCTCCCTAACTTTTTCCTAACCCTAAATCATGTATAAGCTTCTAAATAATTTTGGTCCTCAATCTTAAACTTTCTTGTTATAATATTTACCTGAATTTAAGATACCAACTATTTTAAGACATATTCCAGTTTCAGAGACATTAAATGTGAAAAAGAGCAATTTAGAATCAATGAGATATAGTTGTCCATACTACATGTTGGCCTATTTTGACTTGTCCACTTAATAGGACTGCTCTTTGAAGTCTGACAGGTGGCAGCCCTTTCATCCCAAATGACCAGGTCATTTAGAGCCATGCACCTCTTTCCTGGTAAACCTGCCTGATACCCTGATATCCTCATCCATGTAAGATGGGTAAACATATTAGTTTTTTCAAATCACTTTACTCCCAATGAGGAGGGTCACACAGGTATAGACTATTTACCAATTGGGCAACACTGGTACACAGAACGGATCCAGAGTCCATGCTATGCATGCTTTCCATTAGCTGGAGGGCAGTCTGAGTCAACACGTCACTGAACTGATGATTGCCCTGTTGGAAGCAGGGTTAGTGGGGGTGTATGGACAAGCCCAGGTTTTCAGAATTCCATGTCATCATTTCCCACACTGAAGTCAACAAATGTGAATGAAGAAACAGTTCATTATTTATGACTGCTTTTCAGCATGAACATCTGCTATATTCCAGTTACAGGCTAGGAGCTGGGAACCAGAAACAAGATATAGTCCCTGTCCTTAAAGACCTTGTGTTTTAGTCTTAGAAGACAAATAATTAAACAGTAATAGCATAATGCAGTGTTTGTAAAAGCTTTTAAGGACACTGAAATCAGATGGATACAGGTGATAAGAAAGGCTTAGAGACCAATGTTTGAATATATTCTTGAAACA